TGTAATTGTATGGAATTGTATGTAATTGTATGTGTATAATTATATGTATGTAATTGTATGTATGTAATTGTATGTATGTAATTGTATGTATGTAATTGTATTTATGTAATTGTATCTATGTAATTGTATGTATGTAATTGTATCTATGTAATTGTATGTATGTAATTGTATGTAAATGTATGTAATTGTATGTAGTTGTATGTAGTTGTCTGTAATTGTATGTGATCGTATGTAATTGTATGTAATTGTATGTATGTAATTGTATGTATGTATGTGTGTATGTATGTGTATGTATGTGTATGTGTATGTGTATGTAGGTGTTTGTATGTGTATGTATGTGTATGTACGTGTATGTATGTATGTGTATGTATGTGTATGCATGTGTATGTGTATGTGTATGTGTATGTATATGTGTGTATGTATCTGTATGTATATGTATGTATATGTATGTATATGTATGTAAATGTATGTAAATGTATGTAAATGTATGTAAATGTATGTATGTATGTATGTATGTATGTATGTAAATGTATGTATGTATGTATGTACGTATGTATGCATGCATGCATGCATGTATGTATGTGTGTAATGTATGTATGTATGTATGTATGTGTATGTATGCATGCATGCATGCATGCATGTATGTAATTGTATGTATGTATGTATGTATGTATGCATGCATGCATGCATGTATGTGTGTATGTGTATGTGTATGTGTATGTGTATGTGTATGTGTATGTGTATGTGTGTGTATAGGTGTGTATGTATGTATGTATGCATGTATGTATGTATGTATGTATTTATGTATGGATGTATGTATGTATGCATGCATGCATGCATGTATGTGTGTATGTGTGTATGTGTATGTGTATGTGTATGTGTATGTGTATGTGTGTATGTGTATGTATGTATGTATGTATGTATTTATGTATGTATGTATGCATGCATGCATGCATGTATGTATGTATGTATGTGTGTATGTGTATGTGTATGTGTATGTGTATGTGTATGTGTGTGTATGTATGTATGGATGTATGTATGTTTGTATGTATGTATGTATGTATGTACATCAATATGTGGCATGTTCTGCCTCTAGAACTCAAGGTTTTCTCTTGCCATTTATGATCCAAACTACCAACGTTCCTGGTGACCTCAACATCCACCATACTTCATTCTGAGATTATCAGCCAAAATGTTGCCATAAAATAAATGAAACATGCCCTGTTCCTAAGATAAATCACTCCCAAAAACCTCCCTAATGCTAAACACCCCTCAAGAAACCATGGTTTAACAAGGGATTTACACATATTTGGAAGAATTTAGGGGGTGTCTAGCATTAGGGCGATGGGATTAGTTGGTGTCCCAACCATTATCATTATGCTCCATCTATGGAATATCTACCCACATAACTGGCCCATTTTAATATGGTAAATGTTGGTAAATATTCCAGCACCAAGGAGCATTGGGGCAAGATATAGCAAGGTATACCATCATGAACTACTATACACCCGTAGCCCAAGGATTAAAGGATCTCTAAGTATGTGATCAGTTAGGGCATCAGTTAAAGCAAGCTATAGAAAGTCCCCAAGGACAACGGATGTGATCAGTTTGGACCAAGCTTCCGTTGCCCGCTCCCAGCTCCAGCACCGACTTGTTGTGCAACAGCGCCTTGGTCCGCGACTGTGACAGGTGCGCCATCAACACCACCGCTGGGGGCCACGTGCAATCGCCCGTGGGGTCTTGGAGACCCGGAAACCAACCCACAGCCGCCTGTCCTGAGGCCACTGCGGCCACTGCTTGGAGGACGAAAAAAATGGGCATGTACACGTGGAAAATCATCTGTGAATGGAGGTTTTAAATGTGAACATCCTGGATGTAACTGGTTAGGAACTGGGGCTTTTTCAAGCCATTTATAGATGGGATAAGCGACGAAATTACTAACAAAAGTTACTAATTAAACAGTTACTAAGTTGGATGATCCTCCAAGCAGGTTAGGGCTGCTTGGGGGAATGGCCAAGGGTAATGGCTCGGGGTTAAGTTGAGGCAGGTTCTGAAGAACCTCAGGGGTTGTCCTGCTCAAGTCTGCCTGATCACAACAGTTCATTATAATTGTGCCACGGTCCTTGCTTTCCCCAGGGCCTTGGTAGAAATAGGACCATACCCAGCGGGCCCCCTGGCACCCCCTTTGATAATTGACACAACTCTTCAAGAAAATAATTCTGAGGCTTAAAGTTTCAGGATGTTCAATGGTAATTCCATGAAAATCCACAAAACCCTAAGCGTTCGAGCCTTCAAGCGTAGGGCCATCCCAAAGAATTGGCGAATCGGAAAGCTCAAAGGGGTACCCAGCACTCGAATTCGAGTGTGCCAGTGTGCCACCCAGCAAAAAACTAAATAACGAAACAACAGCGTGTTTTTCACGGCTGATTTTCCCCACAAAATTCACCCATGAAAACCACTGCAGGTCAGATTCCAATAGCCATCCGGGCTATTAACGCGAAGGTCAAACGTATGATTTGTGAAACGCAGCTTTGGCGTTCACAAATGGCAACAGCTGCAAGGTGGTAACTCACAACTAGGGTTTGTGGCAATTCTAGCTAATGTTGGTAAAACAATAATAAACCACCGATTTGGGAATGGTTTATACCACCTATTTATGGTGATTTGCGGGGTGGTTTACTATTGTTTTAGCCACATTATGTCACATTATAGTATTCACGGGGCTTCTGAACCAACATATAACTGGGGAGCCACCTTGTACAGAAACCCCAGGTTGAATGTTTGAGGGCTCCTCTGCCATGCCCAGGCCCAAATACACGCAATGGAGACAGTATTCACTGTATTCACAGATATTCAACATTCAAAGTGCTTACAGAACGAATGAAAACGTTACGTAAGACATAGCCTGAAAACTTTACATAGATTGTTGGGCAGTTCGATTTCCCTACAGTGATCATCATATTAATGATGACTTATTATGGAGGCACTTCAGTTTGGAAGCTGCTGCGTTGTGATGTCCAATCTTTGCCGCTGTGCTGCTGGAAACGCCTTCGGGATATGGTCAAAATTGGGCAAACATCCTGCCGGTTGAATCAAAAATAGCTGGGATTTATGGATGTTCATGCCGCCGAAATATATTCTTTAAAGTAGGTTTTGATACATCCCCACAATGAATACCCTCAGTTAGGGGCCCAAGGATAAAGATCCATGATCGTGCATCCAATACTAAGCCAGTCATGATGATTTTATCATCACTGTGGCCGGTGGAAACTGAATCTTCATTGTGATCCTGCAGGATAAATAACTTGGGGTTCATTGCACCTAAAAAATATCAAGTTGACATGGGACCCCAATTACTGTTCAGCAATCCTGGGCTGACCTTCTCCGGCCAGTTGGTGACATCCCCAGTTAATGAATGTTAAATCACCGTTTATAAACAACCAATAATGATGGATTAATATTGACATTATACAGTCTGCGGTTGGCATTGGAATCCGCAGTTCCTGAGTTCATATCCAGTATGGGAATCCCCACAAGGTGGTGCCCCCCAAGTTATGTCCGTTGGTCTGTAAACCCCAAAAACTAGCTTTCACGACCTGAGGCACCACCTTGCAATATATTCCATTATATCCCCATGAATCAACTATACCCCATCAAATGGTTGGTTTACCCCAAGGAACCCCTATACCACAAACCCGCCATCTTCTTATTTTTTGCTTGGTTCATGAAGTTCAACTCCCTATATTAATGTTGGTGCCTAAATCAGCGATCCATTTTGTACACCAACCATGCTACTGCCCAACCACTTTTCCCCATTGGAACAGGCTTTGTGGTTGGATAATCCCCACTGCTTCCGGCGTCCGACTCCGTGGACTCCTTCTTTCGCTTGGCGAAGGCCGCGTTGCTACGCTCCAAGATGCGCACATTCAACACTTCCTCCTGGAGAATGACCCAAAGCGATTTGGGATCCACAATGCCAGGTCCTAGCTTCGGGAGAAATGCAGGTCGAGATATGCATAAATCTGTGCCAATACAAACTTGTAAATACATACATTATATATATACATATACATACTTTGTTCTATTTGTTCAAGGCTGCTATATATATATAATAAACATTAATGCCCATCCTGCAGCAGATAGAATATCAACATTTCAACTAATAACATTCAAATTTGTTTGATGGCTGTTTGACATAACCATATATTCTATCTACTCCAGGATGACTATATGCACATGATTAATCATTTAAGCATATTGTAACATGGACAAGACACGATGACAATAGTCCATCCCTGCCCCCCCCAGTCCATGCTCATGGGATCTTTCCGGAAGCCAGAGGACCAGCCGCAGGCGGATTTCATGGCATCACCTGCTGGAATTCAGGGGACCATCTTGTGGTAAATTGATGGGGATACAAGTATAGATAAATCAATGCAAACACCCGGATACATATATATATATATACATATGCCATATATCTATATATTAATGATATTCCAAGAATCTTATTGATTCTTAGTGTAATCACTTGGGGTTTATCATGTTATCATCATCTAGAAATGGATCCGACAAACGAGTTCACCATGACGCAGTTCATTAATGGGAGATTTAGCCAAGTGAACAAGGCTGATACTGTGGACAAAATCCTGCACCAGGTAATTCGTGGTAACATAATTCAACACTGTAAATTTCATGGGTTATAACAAGATGTTTACCATCTACCAACTGCGATATCCCAACCCACTATATGGCTGATATAGACTTAGGGAGCACCATTAAGTCCTGAGGCCCCTGACAAAAAAGTCCGAAGTGACACCATGACTTTTTCCACCTCAAAAAACTACCCGACTAACGTGGTAAACCCAACTTCATAAACCATCCCCAAGTCATCACCATTTTTATTGCTTTTGTAAACCATCCCCAAAAGGTAGGCTTACTATTGATATTATTGCTGGTTGGTGGTATACCTACCCCTCTGAATTCGTCAGTTGGGATGATGACATTCCCAATAGATGGAAAAGTCATAAAAGCCATGTTCCAAACCACCAACCAGATTGGGTTTACCACATGACGAATCATTTTCCATTTTGTTTAAACGTCATGGGCTACGAGACAACTCGTCAACTGCTTGGGACCAACCAGCTGGTTCGTGATCAATTCCTATTGCTTTTCTCCAGTCTTGTAAGTCTATTGAAATCTATCGAATATAATGATGAACAATCGAAGATTCTGACTAAAAATCGTTATATCATATATCACAATATCACATGCATATATATATATGTGTGTGTATATATAAATAATTAATATAATATATATATATATATATGTGTGTGTATGTTGTTTTTTCTATTGGTTTACTGAAAACTTGCCATATTCCGGGAAGTTCCGGTCCGTCTCACAGCCGACGGCTGCACTGCTGCCGCCTGTGACGCTCTGCAGGGCATCATGGGAGGACAGCCATTGGCCCACCTGGACATGGAGGATTCGGTGGGCAAAACAACACGTAAAAGGTCACTTCTACCAACCCCATTGATATTCTGCTTGGTGGTTTTAACATGTTTTAGCCATCTTGAAAAATATGAGTTCGTCAGTTGGGATGATGACATTCCCAATATATGGAAAAATAAAATGTTCCAAACCACGAACCAGCCATTTATATTTATATACAACTGTGCTAGTAGGATCTGGCTTTAACTGTATACATCTGTATACCTTTTTGGAGCCTGCTACAGTGTATTATGAAGCCTTGCTTTTCTGTTGACACCAAAATAGCCCCGGGTTCCAAGAGGCATATGGGAAAATCGTAAGTTTTAACCCATCCACAGTATCAATGATAGTGGGCCATAATGGTTATAGCGGGATGTATATTCTGTATCAAGGGTTTTATCTAATTCTGTGGGATTTATTGGTAATTGTAAGAAAGAACTATGGAAAATCAGATCGGTTAAATTATACATATGTGCGTATATCCTTGCAATTTCCATCCATATCTCACTATAATCCATTACAACAAGAAGGCTGTCTTGCTGAGTTCTGCATTACCATCAACAAGCCGATTGAAACCTTCTCAGCAAACCTTTGCAAAGGTACCCCTCAAGAGAACTGATCTTCCTGGGTTATAAGCCCCGCCGAACCAGCATTGAAGGCTGTCACGACATAGGCTACGCGTAAATCTGCTGGTGAATCATGAGTGCCTATATAGTTGGTTTTGTGATGTTATGATATGTTATAATCATGATACGCCATGAAATTCCAAGAAATCCAAACAAAAATATGCTAAATCATGTGTATTCATGTTCTTAAATCGAATATCCTACGGTAAATCAGACGTGATTTACTGAAACCCCCGCCATTTTTGATGTGGATTTTCCAGCCCGGGATTCCCCCCGTTTCAACGGGCGCACCTCTTGTGGGGTACTGGGCGGCTTCACGGCTGCCTTGCTACCTGGGATGGGAGAACTCATAAGATTTCAATAAGACATATAACCAGCTAGTCTATATCTGTGGTAAATGGCGGTTTCACAGATTTAGGGCAACATACAACCAACTATCCAGCTATCTGATATGTGAGTCCATCCGATTTTATGGCCTCTCTACCACCAATCAAGCACTATATTATACGAGTATTTTAACAGGAAAGATGATGATGAACCAGTAGATTTTGAGATGTGCACCGTTTTTTTTCTGGGGATCCACAAATCCACTGGATTCCAAGGCCAACAATAGACCTCGTAGTCCAGGTCTGTGTTTGTTTCCCTACCAGCAACTGGGCGCCAACCGAGGGATGCTCAAATCACGGGCAGTCCGCCCTTCAAAAACCATGTTTGCAGCCGATGTCTGTCATTTGATGTGATAGATGGATATCATATATATATATATGATTTGATAGATAAATAATAATAAAACTGCCTGTCCACTGTTTATCATTGTCTATCTATCATATTCATATCAGTGATAACCATCTATCACTTCAATTTCATCTCTCCATCTCTCATCATCTCTCCATCTATCCATCTCAAGGACCTCAGCGGTCACTACAGCAAAGCATCCGCGGGGCAATCCGTGGATGATCCATTCCCCCAATGTCTTGGAGCTATTCATGACTGGTTTCTGGGCCATCTGTCGGCTATCTAAATGTATTTAATGTTCGGGGAAAGGGATGGGATTAGGTATATACCCTCCTGTAAACTCACATAGATGTGGAGAATCCACAATTTAAAAATCATGTTCCTAAGAATTCCTAAAAGGAACCCGTTGGTTTTCCACATCTCTCTATGTTTACCCCAGGCTTTCCCACCTGAAGGTGTTCCAACCGTCTTCATGGAGTTGCCGCTGTTCCAAGTCTGCAGGATCCGTGGAGGTTCACACTCTGAATTTATAGTTATAATATGTTATAACCATTAGTTATCTCTGGGAAAAAACTACATATTATTTTTCAAGTTGCTCTAATTATTGTTATCCCAATATATGTAATTTCAAGTTATATCTGGGTAGTAAATTAGACTAAAATCACTGATTTGAAAAAACTATACTGAGATAATATATATATATATATATACATGTATGTATGTATGTATGTATGTATGTATGTATGTATGTATGTATGTATGTATGTATGTATGTATGTATGTATGTATGTATGTATGTATTATATATAATAGCTCTTGCAAACCCACATTCCAGTGAGGTCGCAGTGAGGTCGTTATAATTTACCCGGAAATACATATTAATGGGCATATAATGAACATAGCATTGGGAAAAATGGAGGTTTGAATGGGGAAATCATCTTTACATGGTGATTACAAAATGTTACCATTTGGTAATTTAACGGTTTGCTATGGAAAATCACAAGTTTTAAAACCTTAGATGATCATAAGTCATCTATTTTCATGGACCATGGCGTCCATTTCTATGTTAAACAACCAGGGCGTAGCTGCGTAACCCAAAAAAATGAAAAGATCTTGAAAAGTATAGGAAACCTGGAAATTATGGGAACATATCAAAAAAAAAACAATAAATATCATTGAACTACCATCCTGGAAACACTTGCGGGCAACTTTCTAGGGGGGTGCTATAATGTGGAACCATCTGCTGGGGATACAAATGAAGATATCATGGTCAAAGAACCAAGAAATGAACCACTAGCATTTTCTGGAGGCTCCCCCGAAATTTCACGACCGCAAACATCATTTTTCCAAACATCAGGTCGGAAACCAAAAGATTCCATGTTAAATTGTATGCGCATCTGTTTTTTTCTCGGTGAACCCCGGCAAACTCTAGCTGCTAGTTTTTCCTATAATTCAGTGTGCGACTGTAACCAAGAATGGTGAATGCTTTACCGGCTTTAACAACAAAAGGAATTCAAGTATTGTAGTCACATGTAAGCCATCAGTACTGGACTTTCCCAGGTAATTACATCATGAAGAACGCCGCCTTGACTCCAACCACGCTGGAGATTTGGATCAGACATGAATGGACAAGGCCCGACAAGGCTAGCTTGAACAAGGGAATTTGACCGATGTTTCCATGTCTGAGTGTCTCCTAAGCTATGGCAGCTATGGTTACTTTTTAAACTGTTGTTGTACTGTTTGATGTTTGATTTTTTCTGCCGTTCTTTACTCACACAAAACTAACTCCAACCATATTCACGCCATAATAATATGCCAAAAACATACGGCAACGTTTCGTCATCTCCCTCTACATCTCCCCGACAAACGGTTTCAGGAAACAATAGACTTTCCAAACAAAAACAAAACCCACCTAGTGACCTAGTGAAGATTTCACGACTCCCAAAAAAGGATTGTTAATGACTCCCAAGAAAGGATGTTTCCATGATAAAAAAAACGTGTGTTATTGTCTTGTGCGATTATTCCCCCAAAAAAAACTATGATAAAATTGGAACAAAGACATGACACGTACCCTCTGGTTATTTGTTACATAGCCATGGTATAGATGGCCCTTATCGAAATAGATGGTTTGTTTACCTAGCTATAAAATGGTGGATCTTTCCACGGCTATGTTAGTCATAACCAGATGCGACCCATGTGAATCCAGGGCCCCAGCGGGCTGCGCCTCTGAGGTTTTGGAGGCCTTGGTGTCGAAGAAACTCTCGGCGGTGCATCCCGGAGACCTGCACTGATTTCAGTGGCTGGGGACCGTCCCCTGCGCTAAAAATGGGGATTAGAAAAAGGGTACCAAAGGATTATAGTACCTCGATTTATTCAAAATGGTGCTGGAAGGTGCCACCAGGACATATTTGGAGGTGACATACCCTCTGGTAAACGTTTACATAACTATGGAAAGATCCACCATGCTATTGAAGGGAAAATCCACTATTTCTATGGCCATTTTCAATAGCTTCAATGGGAATTTCAGGATCCTAAAATGGAGGTACTGTAGCGTATTTTTGGCCATATTTTGTGGTGATATTCCCTTACATAGGCCTAAGAAATAGGCCTTATATATGGTAGGTACCTCCAATTTGGGTTCCTGAAATGGCCATTGAATATGGGTATATAATCAATGTTATAATCACCCCTTTGGATCCAAGTATCTTCTTAGGATCTTAGGAAGTGGGAATGGGGTATGATATGGGGGGTGCCTGGGGTCCCTTCTTAGACAGTGTTTGGATCCATAGGGCATGGGCATATATACATATATAGCATTGATATATCAGAGGGTATCTACCATAATAGTATAAGCATAATATACCTATTTACCATGTGTTGTCATCAAACGTGGCAATAATGGAAAATCCTTGTTGACCTTGAAACACTTTATACATGGAGGATTTTCCAGCAAGCCATGATGACACCGGAGGGTATTGTGGATACTAAGGGTATCTTATGAATGTTAACCCTTAATTTGAAATTAATTTGACCATTATTAAATTTCAGGATGATACATTCTTTGGGGATTAGGGGACATTAATGGAAACAATATGAACTTGATTCATCTTTAGTCATGGACATTAGATTATATTAGATTCAATACGTTGGATACCCCTCTGTGATATTAATCAATCTAGTACTAGTATTATCTAACAGTTGGCAACTTTGATATATTTGGGGATGGGTCAAGACATGTCGAAACCCAAAATAGCTGGGGATTGATGGGGGAACATGCCCCTTTTGGATCCCTATGGGCAAACAACCTGATTGCTCAATCGGTGGATGCACTCAACGCAGTCAAATAGTGTAATCGATGGATACCTATTAGGAAACCCAAATGGTGGTCACCAGCCATTCCTGTAAAGCACTACAAAAGTAGGGGATGTTATGATGTTTGAAGGGACAATGAAGGGACCATATGTGGACCTTTGAAAATAAGCATACTTTATTGGAACTCGATGAGATATCAGACCAGCCAACAAACATGAGATGGGTGTGTCTGGAAAAGGGATATATCCAAAAGCATGTCAATTTAATTTTTAATATGCCAAATGATGATGAAACCGTGCATTTAGGTAATTACTATTCAAACAAATCCTTTCAAACTATTTTTTGGCATATTCTTGGTTCAGTTTGATGCGGAAAGGTTACAGGGAAAATATTGGTAGTTTACCGGTCAGATATGGGGCTGAACCCTGTTGACCATATGATTTGTCCTCCGAATCGTTTGGTCTTGCAGGTATTTGCAGGTACTAATGTATGAAGACTTTGACTGCAAAAAAGGAGTATCGGAATGCTTATGAAGGGGCTCTTGATGATGTCATTGACTTTCGCACTGTTTTTCAAGGGACCCATGGATATTTGACTGGAAATCAAACATACTGTTCAATGATGTTCGATGGACATCAATGTGCTACAGAATTTGACGGGTAAACCTGAATTCAGATCGGAGAGCGCACCTGATCATGCTGACTGAGTGGATCTTAGTGGCCTCATTATTTGTTTGAGCAAACATGAACAAACTAGCAATATAGTTAGGGGACCTGCAGAAATTTCAACACGAGCCAGTTGTAGTTGATGTCACCCCATTTTACCTCCATCCTCCATGTGCACAATGTGGCCCCCAGCATGGGTAACTTGGTCGGCAACTAGGCTGACTGAATTGATGCTGGATAATATCTACAGGTCCGCATATGTTGGTTGAACAACATCCCACAATGATTTGGGGAAAAAACAGCCATCCCCAAATCAAACATCATTGGGGATGGTATTCAACCAACATATCCACATCTTAGGGATACAATGGGGAATACATCATTGGTTGCCCCGATTTAAGGCAAGTTTGGGGCGATGCCCATATATTCCCATCATATCCACATCTTCGGTGGTTAACCACCTCCTGGAAGAGGAACATGTGGATGCAAATTCATCGAAGAATGGAAGCACTTTCGCCTGGCGCCGCACCGCAGTGGATGAACAGGTTATAACCCATTGATCTTACAGCAGGCCGTGGAGATAGTCCACTTAACTCACTTATGACTTTTAGTAGCTGCTTGGTTGGTTGGTCTCAACCCCTCTCACACATATTAGACAAATTGGGATGAAGTCCCAATGTCCCCCCCGATGCTGGAAATTTCACCGCCTGGCAACACGGCAACGGATTGGATGATTGGCCTATTGAACAGTTTTCCGTTTGGATCACTGAAGGCTATATCATCATTCCGTTTCAGGAGGATGGTCATTATCAATGCACAGTAGCCAATGGACATGCACTTCTTAACATGTTCTTAACATGTTCGGTATTCTCAGTGGTAAAGATCTCACAAATCACAAGCCCTGGCCCCTATCCATGTTTTGGATCATATAATGACTTTATTATATTAATGTATTTCTAGTATATACATCTGCTGGAACCCCCAGCGTTTTCGATGGTCTGGAGCCATGGCCTTCCAAAGTTGCGCTTCTTCGGGGACCAGGGATGACATGGCCCAGCTGTGGAAACCTGGATGGACCACAGCTTCTACCAAAAAAACACGGAGAATATCATAGGGCAACGGGTTGTTTACAAAAAAAAATATAAGGAATAAATAAGAGGTGGTTGGGCTAGATTTTTTAAATAGGTGTGGTGTGGACCAGGATTTCTTATAGTAGGCTATTCATTCTCCTTATGAATTACGCAATACCTAATAGTTGGATGTTGTTGCTGTGTTTTCCCCACCTGCCAGAAAAGGGTCTCTAGATTTTATCAGAGTTACTGCCTCATCCTCCTTCCTTCCTCCTACTCTCCCCAACAGCGAACTCCGGATCTCAGTGGGCACAGCAGGACCTTAAGCGCGGGCGCCAGATCTGAGTGAGCTCCAGATCTGGCGCCCAGGTCCAGCAGTGCCCACTGAGATCTGGAGCTTGCGGTTGAGGTCCGGCAGTGCCCATGCCAAAGAGAATGTCAGAATAGATGCTAGATAGAATGCCAGGCAGAAAATGCCAGTTTGAATGCCAAAATGAATGCCAGAAGAAATAAATGCCTGATAGAATGGCAGAATGTATGCAACATAGAATGCCAGAACAGAATGTCAGATAGAATGCCAAATATAGAATGCCAGAAAGGAGGCCAGAAACAATATCAGAATAGATGCCAACTAGAATATCAGAAAGAATGCCAAGTAGAATGCCAGAGAAAATTTTAGAATAGATGAAAGAAAGGATGCCAGAATAGAGGAATGTCAGAATAGAATGTCAGATAAAATGACAGAATAGAATGTTTGAAAATAAGTTGCAATATATGTACTTCCAGATACGATGTCAGAAACTATGACTATGACAGAATAATTTCTCACGGTGGGAATCACTCGAAGTGAAGATTTTTCCCCACCTGCCAGGTGAGGGTTGTTAGATTTTATGTCAGTTGCCTCCTCCTCCTCCTTCTCCTCCTTCTCCTCCTCCTCCTCCTCCTCCTCCGCCTCCTCCTGCCTCGTCCTCCTCTCCTCCTCCTCCTCGTCCTCCTCGTCGTCCTCGTCGTCCTCGTCGTCCTTGCTCAACTGCGACCGCGATCCACTGTGTTCTCTGCCGGACCTCAACCACGACCATCCACGCCCAGTGTTCCCTGCCGGACCTCAACCACGACCATCCACGCCCAATGTTCCCTGCCGGACCTCACCCACGACCATCCTCGCCCAGTGTTCCCTGCCGGACCTCAACCACGACCATCCACGCCCAGTGTTCCCTGCCGGACCTCAACCGCGAGTATCCACGCCAGGTGTTCCCTGCCGGACCTCATGTAGGAAGATATGGGACAAAGAATGCGCAGAAGAAAGTTAGAAAAAATGTCAGAAGATATGCCAGAAGATATGCCAGAAGATATGCCAGATAGAATGCCAGATAATATGCCAGAAGATATGCCAGATAGAATGCCAGATAGAATGCCAGAAGATTTGCCAGATAGATATGCCAGAAGATATGCCAGAAGATATGCCAGAAGATATGCCAGAAGATATGTCAGAATATATGCCAGAAGATATGCCAGATAGAATGCCAGATAATATGCCAGATAGAATGCCAGATAGAATGCCAGAAGATTTGCCAGATAGAATGCCAGAAAATATGCCAGAAGATATGCCAGATAGATATGTCAGAAGATATGCCAGAAGATATGTCAGATAGAATGCCAGAAGATATGTCAGAATATATGCCAGAAGATATGCCAGATAGAATGCCAGAAGATATGTCAGATAGAGTGCCAGAAGATATGCCAGATAGAATGCCAGAAGATATGTCAGATAGAATGCCAGAAGATATGCCAGATAGAATGACAGAAGATTTGCCAGATAGAATGCCAGAAGATATGCCAGAAGATATGCCAGATCATATGCCAGAAGATATGCCAGATAGAATGCCAAATAGAATGTCAGAAGATATGTCAGATAGAATGCCAGAAGATTTGCCAGTAAGAAAATGTATAAATGTCATGGTGGGGATCACACGAAGTAAAGTAATTTTCTTAATGTAACTTGTCACATGGAACACCCTCATACGAACAGCCTGTCCGCCAAGTGTTTCCGCCGAGTGACGTCGCTGTGATCGCGCCTGGCTGGAATTAGTGATGGTCGTGAAACCAGTGGGTCCCGTATATACATATGTATACATAGATGTAAAAATACATTAATATATACTGTATATGCGCATGTATAAACAGTATATATATATGTATACAAATATGGGCGTGGATGCGTTTCTGTCTACATCTACATGTGCATGTATGAATATAGATGAATATAGACTTATAGAAATACCTGAACATTTGAATACATGTGTGTTTATGATACTGCATGTCTAATCAATGTGTACATATATATCCGAGGACCCTGGCGGACAGCAAGGGGAAGGACCAGGGAATAAGAGCTTTGTGTCTCTTAGCCATCATAATGTCAGCTTCCAGCTTCCAGTCCAATCCACACAAACTAGGACAACAGCAGCAGCAGCAGCGGCTACGAGGACCACGACGACAACAACAATAGCAGCAACAGCTGCTACTGCTAGTGCTACTGCTGCTACTGCTACTGCTGCTACTGCTACTACTGCTACTACTGCTACTACCACTACCACTACCACTACTACTACTACTACTACTGCTACTGCTACTGCTACTGCTACTGCTACTGCTACTGCTACTGCTACTGCTACTGCTACAACTACTACAACTAGTACAACAAAGGGCCGCAAAATAGCGGCTATAAATAAACACTGAACATACCAGTACCACCCACATGGCCCAAGATGGGTTGCCAGGCTAGGTCCTCCACCCAGTCCGGAATTGGTGGTCTGCGAAGCACTAAACTATATGGAAATAATATTCGTATACATAATGTATATATATATATATAAGCAACCTGAAAGAAAATATGAAATTTTGTAATATATACATATATATATATAATTATTTAAATTGTGTGTGTGCGCATGTGGAAAAAACTAAGGAAAGGATAAGAAAGGTACAGTGCAAGCTTGGATTTATATAATACTGTTCACAGTGGTAATAGGTATAAATATAACAATAAATATATATATATAGGCAACCATGGAGAAAATATAACTTTATATATATATATATATATGTATATATACTTACCTATATTGTGCGTGTGCGCATGTGGAAAAAAAACACTAAAAGGAAAGGTAATTACAGTGCAAGCTTGGATTTATATCACACTATTCACAGTCTTAATAGATGTATTAATATATATATATAATGTTGAGCTAGGATTAATAAAACCCCCAAATTAATCATACCCCTTTTCACCGGAAATTTTTGGGCAATACTAAAGTCCTCTACGTGCTGATTTCCCCCCCTAATAATGGAACCCTACCCCCGAATTAATCATACCCCTCCGGGATCCCCAAATTTTTGGTGGAACTAATTTGCTATTACTCCCTTTTACTTTTTAATTCGGATTACAATTTCCAGGGTTACTTCCTATTTTGGTTTACCATAGGTATTCTTATCTTTTCTCACTGGAATCTGATGGTTTACCATTCATTTTCGAATCTTCCCTCATAGGAATTTGATGGTTTCTACGTGGTTTCCTCATCTTCCCTCAAAGGAATTTGATGGTTTACCAGAGGTTTTCTGATCATGTCTCATTGGAATTTTATGGTTTACCCTAGGTTTTCTTGTCTTTTCTCATAGGAATCTCATGGTTTACCATTCATTTTCGAATCTTCCCTCATAGGAATTTGATGGTTTCTACGTGGTTTCCTCATCTTCCCTCAAAGGAATTTGATGGTTTACCAAAGGTTTTCTGATCATGTCTCATTGGATTTTTGTATGGTTTACCATTAATTTTCGAATGTTTCCTCATAGGAATTTGATGGTTTCTACGTGGTTTTCTCATCTTCCCTCATAGGAATTTGATTGTTTACCAGAGGTTTTCTGATCATGTCTCATTGGAATTTTATGGTTTACCCTAGGTTTTATTATCTTTTCTCATAGGAATCTCATGGTTTACCATTCATTTTCGAATCTTCCCTCATAGGAATTTGATGGTTTCTACGTGGTTTCCTCATCTTCCCTCAAAGGATTTTGATGGTTAACCATAGGTTTTCTCATCTTTTCTCATAGGAATAGGTTTTCTGATGGTTTACCATAGGTTTTCTCATCTTTTCTCATAGGAATCTCATGGTTTACCATTCATTTTCGAATCTTCCCTCATAGGAATCTGATGGAATTTGACCATAGGTTTTCTAATCTTTTCTCATAAGAATTTGATGGTTTACCATAGGTTTTCTATCTTTTCTCATAGGAATCTCATGGTTTACCATTCATTTTCGAACCTTCCCTCATAGGAATCTGATGGTTTACCATAGGTTTGCTTATCTTTTCTCATTGGAATCTGATCTTTCCTCATCCACCTCGCAAATATGCTCTTGCAACGTGGCACTTTTTTTACTACTGCTACTACTACTACTACTACTCCTCCTGCTGCTGCTGCTTCTTCTACTGCTGTTACTACTGCTACTACTACTACTACTGCTGCTACTACTACTGCTACTGCTGCTACTGCTACTACGGCTACTACTTCTACGACGACGACGACGTAATTTGATATGCACATATACAAGTGGATCCGGATAAGCCACAACCAAAAAAAAGAGGGCATCTTGAAGGCACCCTCTATCAGTGCAAGGGCTGTGCTTTCAGGGGGTCGAAGCCGCACTATTGCCAAACACACTGGTTTCAGAGGTTTTTTGTGGGTTGGCTCATCACGTTGGGAAGAGGTGACTCTCTTTCATTGCAAGAGCTGTCCTTTCATTAGGTCGAAGCCGCGCTATTGCCAAACACACTGGTTTCAGAGGTTTTTTGTGGGTTGGCTCGTCATGTTGGGAAGAGGTGACTCTCTTTCATTGCAAGAGCTGTGCTTTCATTAGGTCGAAGCCGCGCTAGTGCCAAACACACTGGTTTCAGATGTTTTTTGGCTCATGATGATGGGAAAAGTTGACTTTTTATCGTTG